AGGACAGCATGTAGTTGTAAGATACAAGGACTTTAGACAAGACAGTAGGACAGCATGTAGTTGTAAGATACAAGGACTTTAGACAAGACAGTAGGACAGCATGTAGTTGTAAGATACAAGGACTTGAGACAAGACAGTAGGACAGCATGTAGTTGTAAGATACAAGGACTTTAGACAAGACAGTAGGACAGCATGTAGTTGTAAGATACAAGGACTTTAGACAAGACAGTAGGACAGCATGTAGTTGTAAGATACAAGGACTTTAGACAAGACAGTAGGACAGCATGTAGTTGTAAGATACAAGGACTTTAGACAAGACAGTAGGACAGCATGTAGTTGTAAGATACAAGGACTTGAGACAAGACAGTAGGACAGCATGTAGTTGTAAGATACAAGGACTTGAGACAAGACAGTAGGACAGCATGTAGTTGTAAGATACAAGGACTTTAGACAAGACAGTAGGACAGCATGTAGTTGTAAGATACATGGACTTGAGACAAGACAGTAGGACAGCATGTAGTTGTAAGATACAAGGACTTGAGACAAGACAGTTGGACGGCATGTAGCTGTAAGACACAAGGACTTGAGACAAGACAGTAGGACAGCATGTAGTTGTAAGATACAAGGACTTGAGACAAGACAGTAGGACAGCATGTAGTTGTAAGATACAAGGACTTGAGACAAGACAGTAGGACAGCATGTAGTTGTAAGATACAAGGACTTGGGACAAGACAGTAGGACAGCATGTAGTTGTAAGATACAAGGACTTGAGACAAGACAGTTGGACGGCATGTAGCTGTAAGACACAAGGACTTGAGACAAGACAGTAGGACAGCATGTAGTTGTAAGATACAAGGACTTGAGACAAGACAGTAGGACAGCATGTAGTTGTAAGATACAAGGACTTGAGACAAGACAGTAGGACAGCATGTAGTTGTAAGATACAAGGACTTGAGACAAGACAGTAGGACAGCATGTAGTTGTAAGATACAAGGACTTGGGACAAGACAGTAGGACAGCATGTAGTTGTAAGATACAAGGACTTGAGACAAGACAGTTGGACGGCATGTAGCTGTAAGACACAAGGACTTGAGACAAGACAGTAGGACAGCATGTAGTTGTAAGATACAAGGACTTGAGACAAGACAGTAGGACAGCATGTAGTTGTAAGATACAAGGACTTGAGACAAGACAGTAGGACAGCATGTAGCTGTAAGACACAAGGACTTTAGACAAGACAGTAGGACAGCATGTAGTTGTAAGATACAAGGACTTGAGACAAGACAGTAGGACAGCATGTAGCTGTAAGACACAAGGACTTGAGACAAGACAGTATGACTATTGGCAACTTTGAGACACTAGGACCTTGGATGAGACAGTAGGACAACTTGAAGCTGTAAGACACACCTCTGGTACCTCTAAGACATATAGACCTAAAGCAAGACAGCAGGACCACTCGTAGCTCTAAGACATGTACACCTCAGGCAAGATAGTAGGACTGCTAAGACATATAGACCTAAGGCAAGACAGTAGGACTGCTAAGACATATAGACATAAGGCAAGACAGTAGGCATGCCTGCTGCTCTGAGACATATAGACCTAAGACAAGACAGTAGGACTGCTTGTAGTTCTGAGACATATAGACCTAAAACAAGACAGTAGGACTGCTTGTAGTTCTGAGACATATAGATCTAAGACAAGACAGTAGGACTGCTTGTAGTTCTGAGACATATAGACCTAAGACAAGATAGTAGGAATGCTTGTAGCCCTAAGACATATAGACCTAAGGCAAGACTGTAGGACTGCTTGAATCTCTGAGACACTTGAACTTGTAACAAGGCAGTAAGACTACTTGGATAAGACAGTATCATTTGTACAAGTAGCGGTAAGACACTTAGATCTGGAATAAGACAGAAGTATCTGCTACTGTAAGACACTTAGACCTGGAATAAGACAGAAGTATCTGCTACTGTAAGACACTTAAACCTGGAATAAGACAGAAGTATCTGCTACTGTAAGACACTTGGGCCTGGAATAAGACAGTAGTAACTGTAGCTGTAAGACACTTAGATATGGAATAAGACAGTAGTATCTGCTACTGTAAGACATTTAGACCTGGAATAAGACAGACGTATCTGCTACTGTAAGACACTTAGATCATGAATAAGACAGAAGTATCTGCTACTGTAAGACACTTGGGCCTGGAATAAGACAGAAATATCTGCTACTGTAAGACACTTAGACTCAGAATAAGATAGAAGTATCTGCTACTGTAAGACACTTGGTCCTGGAATAAGACAGAAGTATCTGCTACTGTAAGACACTTAGACCTAGATTAAGACAATAGAAGGAACTTTAAAGCAATTAGAATTACTTTCAGTTTCATAAAAATCAGGAAAAAAATAATTTCAGTAGTTCATTAGAATCCTGCTCCTTGATACAACATATATAGAGTGTCATACTTTTTCCTGCTAACACTTCAGTATTACAACTGTTACACCAGCGTCCTATATAACCAGAACCAGGGCGTTGAGCCCCATCAGTCAATTAACTATTGCAACACTGTAATATATTATGATACAAATTTGCCCATTACAACGAAAGAAGAAATAGCAAATTATTTTAACTCATTCTAAGGGAACTGTAAAATTGCTGTCCTAAATTATTTTACTGTTAAGAATAAGATTTCAATCGTTTTTTAAAAATATGTAAAGCACTTTTTACATCAATGTTCCCCCCTAATTGCAACCACCATTTTTACTCCAAGTTTTGAAATCTTTAGAAAATATTTTTTCAAATGATAAAACAGAATCAATGATCACAAAATTGTTGTACTCACCTTCTGTATGTGTGTGTAGGTCGCCTGCATCTGATAAACATTGGCACGTTATAAACACGGGCAGCCCTCCTTGCTATGTCTCTCGTGTAACACACTACGGCTGTATCAACCGTTAGATTTGGACTTTGATAAGACAGGGATCCCTTTAAATATTTAGTTCCCAGCCAGTTAGCGTACAGGGACCTCGGGGTAGCCTCCCTTGTCAGACCCCCTGTTGGGGAGAAGCGCCCTTTGCTAAACTATTCTAAATAAACCCTCCCCGCTCATCCTAAACATCTTACCCTCGATCAAATCCCACAGCAGGACATCTTTCAATTCAACGAAGACATAATTTCAAATTCATTTTCAGTATGATGACGGTCTAAGGGGCAAAAAATATGAGCACTCCGCGGGGTATTATCTGTGAAGCTTGCGTCGTCACGGATATATGTATGCACAGCCAACAGCCGAGCGGTGCCAGTTATTTGTTTGAAACAAGACAGGGGCTAGCAATGATACTAGAAGTCGTCGGCAGGCAAGCGCATCTTAGCATCAAATTAATGTTTCTGTAGCTTTCTTCAATCACAAGATCGGTTTAAGATGGACTGATGAAAACTTGTTAAAATAAACGTAATGTACATAGATATATTTCAGATGACGGCTAGCTTTGATAAATACAGCAGATTTCGGTTTAGTTTTAATTCAGCGTTGTTTTAAAGTCTTTGTAAATTAAAAAAAGGGGGGGGAGGGGGGAGGGGTAAAGACACAGTCATTAGTTTGTGACGATAATTATTCCCACCAAGTACTAGTTATATAAATCTGGTCTCGGTTTTTAGCTCGTGATAAGGGCATGTAAATTAAATCAAAGATTTCGCATTTCTAGATAAATCTACAGAATCTCCCCTCAAATCAAGATATCAAGTTAACAAAGGTCGAGGATCATTGAAATATAGAACTTCATACACCGATGGAATGAGCTGAGTCTGAAGAAATTTGCTCCGAGCTCCAGCTTCGCAGAACAAGAGGAACATTACTGATCTCAGGTCTTGTTTCAAAGAGGTCAAGATTATATTCAGGTTTTGTTTCAAAATTGGTCAAGGTTAATCTGAGGTCTTGTTTCAAAATAGGTCAAAGTTAATCTCAGGTCTTGTTTCAAAATAGGTCAAGGTAACTTCAGGCCTTGTTTTAAACTATATGTCAAGGTTAATTACAAGTATTGTTTCAAAATAAATGAAATGTTCCGGAGAAGAATGCTACATCTAGTTTAGTGAGTGAAAGAATATCAAAGATTTTAAAAAACAACACGCAAGTCGATACATGTAGCACGTTTTAATATCTAAGAGTTATATACAGTAGAGCCAAACTATGAATTAAACTGCATCATACAGCTGTTTCGTCCTTCGGGGACTCGTCAGTGATGTTACATCATACACCTGGTTCGTCCCTCGGGGACTCGTCAGTGATGTTACATCATACAGCTGTTTCGTCCCCCGGGGACTCGTCAGTGATGTTACATCATACAGCTGTTTCGTCCCTCGGGGACTCGTCAGTGATGTTACATCATACAGCTGGTTCGTCCCTCGGGGACTCCACAGTGATATTACATCATACAGCTGTTTCGTCCCTCGGGGACTCGTCAGTGATACTACATCATACAGCTGTGTTGTCCCTCTAGGAGTCAACATTGATTGACGCTAAGAGCCTCGAGTTTGAAGCCTAGAAGGCGACTGAGGAAAATTCAATGCGATCGAAAAATAAAGTAAAAATCTAGACGGGAGGTATAGGAGCCCCATAATTAAATAAATTTTGTGATATGCATATTTTTTTTTTTTTTAATTTTTGAACAACGTCAAGTACATGTGTATATACTGAACCGTGCCACTATGTATTAAAACGTGACAGGCACGTTACGGCAAACCTCGGGGTCTGACAGTCCTCCAACAGTGTCTACCACTATTCGAATGTATTAAAACGTGACAGGCACGTTACGGCAAACCTCGGGGACTGACAGTCCTCCAACAGCCTCTACCACGGAGATTTCAAAGTGCATTAACACATAAGTTCACGTAACACACCAATAAGATCACTTCTCTATTGAAAAGGACGAAAATTCCTGGTCAAGAAATCCTTTACTATTATTTACAAAATGTTCTCTTCTGAATGTCCAATATGCTTTATTTAGTTATACTATAGGCCGAGGGGAATGTAGAGCCTCCAGTTGTCGTGTTATGTCTGGTACGTGACGTATTCCTTTTGGACAGCCAAACTGTTTCTCCAGATCAGGTTTAGTGCTCATTGAGTAAGTAAACAGCCAAGACGTGTTTGATGCAATCCTGGCATCCTGTGGCGTCAGGACTGTTGTCACTTGTCTATAAAAAAACATTGAAAACAATATTGATGAATGACTTCAAAGATCAATTGTTTGATCGCGTGTTTTTTTATTTTTATTTATTTTTTTTTTTTAATTTTATTTTAAAGAAAAACTTTTTTTTCTTGGTTGTAGTTTGACTCTTTTTAGGATATCATGAAACGTGAAATTCTAAACGGAAGCATATTGCCTATTTATTGTATTATTTATTTATTAGTGACTAAGGAATTACTGCCGACTGTCGGACTCGGAAATTAAATATATAATACTGCTGGAAAAGTGCTTCAAATAAGAAGACTACTTATTGTACTGTTTGTCAGTAATGTGTTATTGCTCCACGCGAACTTGCCTGTGTCTTGGTGGTAAGCAGTCTATAGTCACAAATGCACCTCTGGTTGAAGTGATGTACGTACTTTTGGACACATCGCACTTCAAGCTGCCAAATAGCTTAGAACTCGTGTTTTCAAGAACAAAGATGGCTCCGTGCCACCATAACTCGTACGTCGCCAATCCGTCTTGACCATGCTAAAACACAATGGTGTCAGAAGGAATATAAGATATAATGAACAGAAAATGACATAAAAAAGAAAATACCAAATATTATTTTAGGATTCTCACGTATCTTCGTATTAAGTCTTAGTGACATCGTGAAATAGGACAAAACAATGAAAAATTGATAAAATGGAAAATATTAACTAAAACACTTACGTTAACACAAGACAAGAAATACAAAAAAAAAATGGACATATCAGCAAAATATTAATTAAAACCCTTCCGGAACACCTGGTCTTATTCTCCTTATTTTTCATGGTCGCCGTGTAAATCTCACTTTTGTGAATATTTTGCACCAGTTTTCTTGAATTTTAGTTTAAATTAATATTTAGTTTAAAGGCTGTACTTTCTGGTTGCTTTTATTGAATTTGGGTTCGGATGAGAAATATGTATATATGCTGATACTTTCTTGTTTTAATTTAATTCGAGTTTGGAATATGACTTCATCGACATGTTGGTGCCTTCTTGTGTTTTTTTACGGAGTGCCTCGTTATCATGTAGACAGCAGAGGTTTTGTGTTTTTACGGGGTACCTCGTTATTACGAAAACAGCAGAGGTTTTGTGTTTTTACGGAGTACCTCGTTATTACGAAGACAGCAGAGGTTTTGTGTTTTTACGGTGTACCTCGTTATTACGAAGACAGCAGAGGTTTTGTGTTTTTACGGGGTACCTCGTTATTACGAAGACAGCAGAGGTTTTGTGTTTTTACGGAGTACCTCGTCCATTATGAAGACTATAGCAGCTGGGGTATTGTTGATTTTGTCTTGTTTATTAATTGTAAGAATTTCACATTGTTTATGAAACATCGCTGACCTCCTTTCGTGTGCCTTTCTGAATTGCCGTTTGGATGAGAATATCAGCGAGAGCTGTACGGTAGAGAGGAATCCCGCTGTCGATTTCCTCTGATAGAATCATCTGAGAGCTGTGTAACGACATTACGAAGTCCCGGTCAAGCAGTTCTTCATCTATCAGTGAGTGTCCACTGTGGTCAGCTATTGGAAGAAAGAACACACATTAGGAGACGTTTACCAGAAGGGCCATTATATATTAAAGCTGTCCATCAACGTATTTAGAAATTTAGATAACTGACTGAAAGGTGGGGGGGGGGGGGGTGACAAACAAAGATAATACAAATCTAATTAGGAGTATGACTAAGAAATGATGAAGTCGGGTTGAAATATGAGAATAGCAAAATAGGTTTATGTCAATGGAATGAAAAAACTTGGTGGAGTGAGGAGTAGTGAAATTAAGAGGCCACAAGGGAATGGCCAACCCGGGAAATAGTAAGAGAAAGTATACTATATTTGTGATAAATGTGCTCAGCTATAATAAGATAAAACAAACTAATCAATTAGAGTACAAAAAAACTTTTATAAAACTCTTGGGATAATTCAAAACCACATACCGTACAACTGACTATTTTCAAGGGAATTATATTTTCGCTATTTCGCGGTGCATTAAAGTGAGAGCGAAAATTTAATCCGTGAAGTAATGAGGCGCTTTTTATATTCTTTTACATACAGATCACGAAAATTCCATTCCTTAAAAAATTCAACCTTTTTATTTCGAAATTTTGACTGGTGAAATTTGCACACTTTACGATGTCTTTTTAACTCAATAATACTTTGATGATTTAGGGACAGATCATTAACAACGTGTAAATGAATAAATGACAGCGGAACTTAATCGGCAGAATTAATAACACAAAGAAGTTTCTGTCTACTTGACGATTTGGTCATTAAAACAATACTTAACAATCACAATCTCCCTACCCAATCCCCTTTCGGCCAAACCACGTGTCGAAAACCTCAACACAATCTTGATTAATTTTGGGCAAGGATATTGAAGTCGTCGAAATAACGGGTTTCATGTATAGATTGAAGAACGCACCCAGGAAACACATATTAATTGTCACTTTATGAGAGTATGTGTTCTGTTTTGGAATCTATTTGGTACTTGTTCTAAGGGAAGCAATCCCGATATCGAAGCGTATTTCGTAATCACGTGGTTTTAAACAGGATAACAAAGCTGGGATTCTTGTTACACCAAATATTTCACCAAGCTTAGTGATGTTACTGCAACCTTAACGTTTGAATTAGAGAAGGGGAGGAAATAAAATTGTTTTACTCTCGGTAGGCATTGTATGGTCCTCTACTATCAATAGTGTAATGCATATTGATGTCACACCACTGTTTAAATCACTAGACGTGAGCAATACTAATGTTTTGGGTAAAACTAACACCGTTCATCCATGGAGGGTCAGTATAGACATGCAATCCGTCTGAAAACTTTATACCGTAGGAATATTTTTAGGATACAAAACACTTCTTAATCAATCTAGGTAATACCAGTTCCTAGTTTAAAATCCTGACTGGGATATACCTCAAAACACACAGCGCTTAATGTTTTTTCTCATGTCTCTCTGGTATTTACATACGGCATTTAATACAAAAGCTGACGTCATTTTACGGATGGTGACGTCATGATTAAATACGTCCTATCCACTTGTCTTTCAGCGTAAAACTCATGCGTTGATAAAGAAAATTACTTATATATATTTCTCATACAACTTTATGCGCAATTATGTAAAAATTATTTAAAACTATAAATCTGTGACTGAGATAAATCGATCACAGACATGTGCAGGTTATATACTGTAATGTTACTTTACATAGTTTTACAGATATGCGATGTCCTCGTCTCTTCTCAGGGGTTACAACGTTATGAAGCCAAGTTAACAACGTTATGCGTTGATATGACGTTTTACAACTTTGAAAAAGTCAGCCAAAATGTTTAGAGAAAAATAATCTATTTGGAAGGGAGAAAGGGTCATCTCGATCTCTCGTGAGAAGGATTTCAAAGTTTCCAAACTGCCAAAGAAAAGCTGTTTACCAGGGAGTGAAACTTCGGTGTGAAATCCTCTGATCTCACTACATGTAAACATTTAATCCACAAGAGAGAGAATGATTCTGGCACAATGTTATCCTTACACAATCTAACCATCCTATCGTGTTTTATCTGTAAATGACAATCTTATATACTGACAAATATAAACACATACCAATGACATAATATTTTAATTGAAAGAATTATTTCGGATACAACTTAAGTCAACCACCCGGTTTTATTTGTCTGAAAAAGCAAATAGATTAGTGTTAATATAAATGTGCATATTATGATAGTCTGAAGCGAATCGGATCTATTTTTCGTCGGATGCATGAGACGAGTTCGGAGTTTTCCTATATTTTGCGATTTTATTCCATCCTGGAAAATAAAAACAAAACACAAAAAAAAAGGCAATAATCCCTGACAGTGGTAATTTTTACCTGTTTGCCAGTGTTTGAAGGCCAGACACGCTATGGTATAGTAGCCAGGATTTAGATCTACTTCACAACCAACAAAGCTCCTCTGGCACCTCTGACTTGTTTTCACCACTCTCTTAAATACCTTCGATCCCACCATGTCATTCTCCATGATAACGATCAGCAGATCCAATGTGGTCTCAGGTCCTTCCTGTCCCCTGAATCAAACAAAGGGATACTAGAGGATGTCAGATTCAGGTCCTTTCTGTCCCCTGAATCCAACAAAGGGATACTAGAGGATGTCAGATTCAGGTCCTTTCTGTCCCCTGAATCAAACAAAGGGATACTAGAGGATGTCAGATTCTGGTCCTTTCTGTCCCCTGAATCAAACAAACCAGAGGATGTCAGATTCAGGTCCTTTCTGTCCCCTGAATCAAACAAAGGGATACCAGAGGATGTCAGATTCAGGTCCTCTCTGTCCCCTGAATCAAACAAAGGGATACCAGAGGATGTCAGATTCAGGTCCTCTCTGTCCCCTGAATCCAACAAAGGGATACTAGAGGATGTCAGATTCAGGTCCTTTCTGTCCCCTGAATCAAACAAAGGGATACTAGAGGATGTCAGATTCTGGTCCTTTCTGTCCCCTGAATCAAACAAACTAGAGGATGTCAGATTCAGGTCCTTTCTGTCCCTTGAATCAAACAAAGGGATACTAGAGGATGTCAGATTCAAGTCCTTTCTGTCCCCTGAATCACACAAAGGGATACTAGAGGATGTCAGATTCAGGTCCTTTCTGTCCTCTGAATCAAACAAAGGGATACCAGAGGATGTCAGATTCTGGTCCTTTCTCTCCCCTGAATCCAACAAAGGGATACTAGAGGAGGTCAGATTCAGGTCCTTTCTGTCCCATGAATCAAAGAAACTAGAGGATGTCAGATTCAGGTCCTTTCTGTCCCGTGAATCAAGCAAACTAGAGAATGTCAGATTCAGGACATTTCTGTCCCCTGAATCACACAAACTAGAGGATGTCAGATTCAGGTCCTTTCTGTCCCCTGAATCAAACAAAGGGATACTAGAGGATGTCAGATTCCTGTCCTTTCTCTCCCCTGAATCAAGCAAACTAGATGATGTCAGATTCTGGTCCTTTCTCTCCCCTGAATCAAACAAACTAGAGGATGTCAGATTCTGATCCTTTCTGTCCCCTGAATCCAACAAAGGGATACTAGAGGAGGTCAGATTCAGGTCCTTTCTGTCCGTTGAATCAAATAAAGTTATACTAGAGGAGGTCAGATTCAGGTCCTTTCTGTCCCCTGAATCGAACAAAGGGATACTAGAGGATGTCAGATTCAGGTCCTTTCTCTCCCGTGAATCAAGCAAACTAGAGAATGTCAGATTCAGGACCTTTCTGTCCCCTGAATCAAACAAACTAGAGGATGTCAGATTCAGGTCCTTTCTGTCCCCTGACTCAAACAAAGGGATACTAGAGGATGTCAGATTCCTGTCCTTTCTGTCCCCTGACTCAAACAAAGGGATACTAGAGGATGTCAGATTCAGGTCCTTTCTCTCCCCTGAATCACACAAAGGGATACCAGAGGATGTCAGATTCTGGTCCTTTCTGTCCCCTGAATCAAACAAACTAGAGGATGTCAGATTCCGGTCCTTTCTGTCCCTTGAATCACACAACCTAGAGGATGTCAGATTCAGGTCCTTTCTGTCCCCTGACTCAAACAAAGGGATACTAGAGGATGTCAGATTCAAGTCCTTTCTGTCCTCTGAATCAAACAAACTAGAGGATGTCAGATTCAGGTCCTTTCTCTCCCCTGAATCAAACAAAGGGATACTAGAGGATGTCAGATTCAGGTCCTTTCTGTCCTCTGAATCCAACAAAGGGATACTAGAGGATGTCAGATTCAGGTCCTTTCTGTCCTCTGAATCAAACAAAGGGATACTAGAGGATGTCAGATTCTGGTCCTTTCTGTCCCCTGAATCAAAGAAACTAGAGGATGTCAGATTCTGGTCCTTTCTGTCCCCTGACTCAAACAAAGGGATACTAGAGGATGTCAGATTCTGGTCCTTTCTGTCCCCTGAATCAAACAAACTAGAGGATGTCAGATTCTGGTCCTTTCTGTCCCCTGACTCAAACAAAGTGATACTAGAGGATGTCAGATTCTGGTCCTTTCTGTCCCCTGAATCAAACAAACTAGAGGATGTCAGATTCAAGTCCTTTCTGTCCCCTGAATCACACAAACTAGAGGATGTCAGATTCAGGTCCTTTCTGTCCCCTGAATCCAACAAAGGGATACTAGAGGATGTCAGATTCAAGTCCTTTCTGTCCCCTGAATCACACAAACTAGAGGATGTCAGATTCTGATCCTTTCTGTCCCCTGTATCAAACAAAGGGATACTAGAGGATGTCAGATTCAGGTCCTTTCTGTCCCCTGAATCCAACAAAGCGATAATAGAGGATGTCACACGTAATTTTTCATATAAAACATTAATCTTTTGTTAAAATAAAATAGAAACGAGCACACGTGAGATCAATAGCGTACTTATGGAATGAAAATTGATATCGACAAGTTTTATTTGTTGTTTACATGGAGTTGGAAACTGTAGTCAAATGAAATGAAAATGATAATAAGATATTTCATTATCATACGTATGGAAAGAATGATGATAGATGCTCATTTCTATATAGAGTCGAGGCATGTTGAATTGAAACAAGAATCATGTAATCAGGATGTGGTAATTGGAATTAGGGACTTATTAGTCTTGCTGGGTGAAAACGAGGGCCATTGCGTTTACCTACAATGAACTGCTAATTAGCGAGTTTCAGAAAGGTCAGTCTAGAATTAATTCATAGGATTTAACAATTGGCGCGAGAACGATGTCAATATATAATATTGACAGCAGAATCAGCGAATATCATAGCAACGTTACGGGCGGGAAAACAGATGCATGTTTCTAACTACCAGAATGAAGAGTAGCAAAGAATATCAAAATGAGATTGATCAAATGAAACAGGAAAAATTATAAATGTTGTAAGGATATGACGTCATCAGTTTTGTCTCATTTATGGTCGTAAAGTTTTAATCATCTGTTTAATATTTCGTCATAAAAATACTTCATAGATATATTATATGAAAAAAAATTGGTTTACATATTAATTTTTACACAAGTTTCAGATCTAGACGAATATGGGAAACGTTTGTCAAAAAACACGTCTGTCTTAGATTGTCTATCTAAATGTTTTACTTTGTCCAATAAACAACACACACCTGTGGCTTTTTTGGAAAAGTCCAATGTCTAGCTGAGTCCTCTCAAGAAGGGATAAGTTTACAAATTTCCATGGTTTTCCGGCATTTGGCGGGAACACTCCTTTGATACGTAGTTCATGCCAGTCTGACCTAACCTTGCAGATGTCAACACCGCCAAAGTATCTGAAAAAGTATAAATTTGAGCCAACATTAAAAGACCCTTCTTTGTGTTAATGTCATAGAGACATTGATGAATTGATAATTTTTTACCCAAAGGTTTTGCATGTCATTTCCTAAATGGCTTTCCGTACTCCTAAAGCGACATAGTGATATACAAGACGATGGTTTGGGATGTCTGTTGATAGTTCAAAATGACGTAATATTGGACATTAAGCACTTTATACAAACAAACCAATCAGATGATATGGTCAGTTAAGGATGAATTGGTATTGCTTAATTGCGTTGTTTATTCCTCAACAAATACTTACGCTTAATATAGACTGATGAGTCCGTGATTTGTCAGAAACTGACAAGGAAGAGAATAAACGTCGTTTGTGTCTTATAAAGCACTGTTTTATCGAATGCTTGCAAAAGTATCTTAGAATCTTGTTTTTCATTTCACTTAAGATTTAAGGAACTCGTCACAAATTTACAATTTATCTCGCCGGAGGCTTACTAATTTTAAAATTCTCAAACTAATTTTACATGAATTTTACATAACTTGAAATTCATATAAGATCAGTTATTTATATTGAAACACATTTCCAACAAAAATGAGCATATTACTGATGGTTAAACTTATGAATAGTCAGGTACATTTAAGACAAAAAATTAAGTCGATGTTAACTTAAGGCTGATCAGCATAATTGTGTAGCAGTTTTGACTGGAGGAGACAATTCAATTTACAAGCATGTTGTATATAAAATTCTACACAACCTACTTCATATATTCTTCCAAACACATCCAAAATACTCCTTTCTTGTTTTCAGTTGGGTTCAGTGATGTTTTCGAGGAAGCGCTGACAGTTGACCATTTCTGTGACGTATCGGACCAGTCCCCATTCCAGGATTCTCGTCCCCAAGGGTTTCTTAACCTTACCAGTCTGTAGAACATTAAAATTAGTGGTTTTATATAATATTTACTATATCAATCACTACCCACCTTTCGTCGCCCTTCTATACTTGTCTTTGCCCGAACCATACCTCTTGTCGCCATATTAATACCTGTCGCCGCCCTAACCATACCCATCGCCGCCCTATCAATACCTGTCTCCGCCCTAACCATACCTGTCGCCGCCCTATCCATACCTGTCGCCGCCCTATTAATACCTGTCGCCGACCTATCCATACCTGTCGCCGCCCTATTAATACATATCGCCGCCCTAACATTCCTGTCGCCGCCCTAACAATACCTGTCGCCGCCCCATCCATACCTGTCGCCGCCCTATTAATACCTGTCGCCGTCCTAACCATACCTGTCGTTGCCCTAATCATACCTGTCGTCGCCCTATTAATACCTGTCGCCGCCCTTACCATACCTGTCGCGGTCCTAACCATTACCTGTCGCCGCCCTAACCATACCTGCTGTCGTCCTTACCATACCTGTCGCCGCCCTATCCATACCTGTCGTCGCCCTATTAATACCTGTCGCCGCCCTAACTATACCTGTCGTTGCCCTAACCATACCTGTCGTCGCCCTAACCATACCTGTCGCCGCCCTATTAATACCTATCGCCGACCTATCCATACCTGTCGCCGCCCTATTAATACCTGTCTCCGACCTATCCATACCTGTCGCTGCCCCAGTAATACCTGTCGCCGTCCTAACCATACCTGTTGTCGCCCTAATCATACCTGTCGACGCCCTAACCACACCTGTCGCCACCCTAACCATACCTGTCGTTGTCCTAATCATACCTGTCGTCGCCCTATTAATACCTGTCGTCGCCCTTACCATACCTGTCGCGGTCCTAACCATTACCTGTCGCCACCCTAACCATACCTGCTGTCGTCCTTACCATACCTGTTGCCGCCCTATTAATACCTGTCGCCGCCCTAACCATACTTATCGCCGCCCTATTAATACCTGTCGCCGCCCTAACCATACCTGTCGTCGCCCTTACAATACCTGTCTCCGACCTATCCATACCTGTCGCCGCCCCATTAATACCTGTCGCCGCCCTATTAATACCTGTCGCCGTCTTAACCATACCGGTCGTTGCCCTATTAATACCTGTCGTCGTCCTAACCATACCTGTCGCCTCCCTAATCATACCCTGTTGTCGCAATTACCATACCTGTCGCCGCACTTACCGTACCTGTCGCCGCCCTAACAATTACCTGTCGCCGCCCTAAACATACCTGCTGTCGTCCTTACCATACCTGTCGCCGCCCTATCCGTACCTGTCGCCGCCCTATTAATACCTGTCGCCGCCCTATCCGTACCTGTCGCCGCCCTATTAATACCTGTCGCCGCCCTATCCATACTTATCGCCGCCCTATTAGTACCTGTCGCTGCCCCATTAATACCTGTCGCCGCCCTAACCATACCTGTCGCCGCCCTATTAATACCTGTCGCCGTCCTAACCATACCTGTCGCCGCCCTATTAATACCTGTCGCGCCCCTAACCATACCTGTCGCGGTCCTAACCATACCTGTCGCCGCCCTATTAATACCTGTCGCGCCCCTAACCATACCTGTCGCGGTCCTAACCATACCTGTCGCCGCCCTTACCATACCTGTCGCCGCCCGAACCATACCTGTCTCCGCCCTAACCATTCCTGCTGTCGCCCTAACAGTACTTGTCGTTGTCCGAAACATACCTGTATACAACACGCCTGCTATGCATTTCTTGGATGTTCAAGACATACATGCTGTAATGATTCATTCTCGTTTGAAAATTAATTCCGATAAAAACACAGTAAATATGACAGTTAAGTGACGAACATAGAAAAAAATAAAAGTACATACCTAAATGAAAAAGAAATAGTCTTGATTTCTGAGAAAGGGACAAGACAACAGAAGAATTTGCTGAGAAAGGGACAAGACAAAAGGAGAATTTGCTGAGAAAGAGACAAGACAAAAGGAGAATATGCTGAGAAAGAGACAAGACAAAAGGAAAATATGCTGAGAAAGGGACAAGACAAGACAAATGGAGAATATGCTGAGAAAGAGACAAGACAAAAGGAAAATATGCTGAGAAAGGGACAAGACAAACAGAAGAATCTGCTGAGAAAGAGACAAGACAAAAGGAAAATATGCTGAGAAAGGGACATGACAAAAGGAGAATAAGCTGAGAAAGAGACAAGACAAAAGGAGAATATGCTGAGAAAGAGACAAGACAAAAGGAAAATATGCTGAGAAAGGGACAAGACAAGACAAAAGGAGAATATGCTAAGAAAGGGACAAGACAAAAGGAGAATATGCTGAGAAAGAGACAAGACAAAAGGAAAATATGCTGAGAAAGGGACAAGACAAAAGGAGAATTTGCTGAGAAAGAGACAAGACAAAAGGAGAATATGCTGAGAAAGGGACAAGACAAAAGGAGAATATGCTGAGAAAGAGACAAGACAAAAGGAGAATATGCTGAGAAAGAGACAAGACAAAGGGAGAATTTGACAAGAGAAATTATATGATAGAATTCTTTCAAAAATACACAAGTTAATATCACCTTTAAATGGAAATACAGATTATGATGCAGCTTGGCCAATTAAGTTAAAGTTTATCATATTGTCCTTGTTGGACCTGTCAGGGGTGAACCAAGAATGAAGAAATGGAAGGCGGCACAGTTCAAACGAAATTGACCGAAATGCCTAACATAGACAGAAATGTGTACTTACCATGTTATTCAATAAATTTCGCCATTTTACCCACTATTTGCCAATAATCTCTCTGGATATTGCTATGTATTGAGACACTTACTGATTTCCTTGAATATCCTGAACGTCTAGTAGAGAGTATGCATGGTAACAGACAAGTCCCATCTTTTTGTAATGGCCTTCGTCGACATCTTTTTGTGGACAACATGACGTACCCATAAGAAATCTACAACAAAAAAACACCTGATTAGTCAACCATGTCTAACCCAATAAAACACCTGTTTAGTCAACCATGTCTAACCCAATAAAACACCTGTTTAGTCAACCATGTCTCACCCAATAAAACACCTGTTTAGTCAACCATGTCTCACCCGATAAAACACCTGTTTAGTCAACCATGCCTCACCCAATAAATCACCTGTTTAGCCAACCATGTCTCACCCAATAAATCACCTGTTTAGTCAACCATGTCTCACCCAATAAATCACCTGTTTAGTCAACCATGTCTCACCCAATAAAACACCTGTTTAGTCAACCATGTCTCACCCGATAAATTACCTGTTTAGTCAACCATGTCTCACCCGAAAAAGAAACAAATCTCTTACCCTACAGCATAAATCTAAGCATGGACATAGGTTTTCCACGAAAGCCATCGAACAGAAAAGCGTTTAGCACCCCAAACCCCTACTCTCATCCCCACATACAACTACGACAGCACATGATAGTCCATGATTTCAGCTTCCTAAGAAACACAATATACCTAGTATAATGACCAGTCGCTGCATTTTTCCTGTGCCGACAATGTTATAGCGTTAGCTTGTCTCTTGTATATCTAATTCACATTTGATAACGTGCCATATTTAGATTGACCAAGATTAGGATTGGCGGGTGTCGTCGATGAAGTGAAGACGCTTACTCCTCCGAAACACCTGGTCTTATTTTCCTCATACATTTCCATGCGTCTCCCTGTAAATCTTTCTTTTGTTGATGTTTTGCCCTAGTTTTATTGAATTAGACTTTGAATTATGATTATGTTGATATGTTGATATTTCTTGTAGTTTTTTTTATATAAAAAGGACTTACTTCGACTCTCTTGCATTTACGAGTTTTGACCAGACAATCACTTTGTCTGTCTCCTTATCACCTTCTGCAGTTTCTATGATAAAGAAATAGACAAATTGTACATAGTTTGTAATATTGTATGCATTAATTTGTATATACTTATATTAGCAAAAACATTGTTTTGATATCGATGTCTAGAACCAAATTTTAATAAAACATGTGCAAACATGGTTGATTTGTTCCGCTTCATATACCAGTTTATCTATGCTACTCTAAATACAGCCGTATTCACGCGCTTGGAAATATACATTAATATTCATTTCGTGTCGATTACTGATAAATGATGCTTCACGTTTCAATAATTCGTCCTCTTATTCAAAACATCTCAGTATACTTTAGCGCTCACTCCTATGAAACACACCTTGCTGATTTATCCTTTCAAGGTTTTCTGTAAAATCAATTTTTCATTTTTTATCTTTATTTAATTTGAATTTCCATTTTGTTTGTATGTGTGTATTATCAGTTTTTTCTCAAAATAATTGGATGCTTGTGTTTAAATACGCTTTAAATCAATAAAAATATTTTAATCGTACATCTAGTAAATAGTCATATCTATGTGAGTGGGCTTATGATCATGCACTAGCTTATTGCCTGATAATCACACTAACTGTTTACAGTACCCTTAAAACTTATATGTTCACAAGGTTCCCCAGTGAGAAGCGACAGAGCTTCAACAGTGTGTCCTGACGTCAGAGCTTCGTAACATCCAAACAGTTTGGCGGCAGCTTTCTCGATCAGAGGAACCCACAGCTGTTTCCGTTTTCCCTGTTGATGATGTAATAATGTTAGCTAATTCGCAGTGAATCGATGAATATAAGGGGAAAATGTTATACCGTATTTTCCGACCTATAAACCGCACCCGAGTATAAGCATTTAGAATACGATTGCAATTGGTTCTACGCGATTTGTTTCAGTCACAAACACGTGGTACTCCTATAAAACAGTTCATGACGTCACGTACGGGTACTACATTTTTCCCTTTTTCTGACTTTTTTTTGTTTGTTTTTTTTGTCCACTTGTAAGCCGCACGCCCGACTCAATAGGAAAATACGGTAATCGTTTATGGCGGGACATCTACATTTTCATAATTGCTTAATCGGTATATTTTACAAAGGACATTATAGCAAATTGCATCTTTTAATACAAACCTAGAGTTCAACTCCGGTTGTTCAAAGGATAGTTCGAGATAACCAGTATTGGTAAAAATTGAAATTGTTGCCACGTAAATCTGGATTCGAAAAGAAATTTAGGCAACCAAAGACCATCAGCATGACCTGATCAATAAATTTACAGCTATGAAATGTAAAAAAATATTTCCAATTTTATTTTATGCATTTTTGAAAATATTCACTCACCGCTGGTTATCTCTAACCAGACTTTGAACAACTGGGTTCTGTAGAGCCAAAAAACTGCATCATACAGCTGTTCCGTCCATTAAGTACACGTCAGTGGTGCTTTGGGTCTACGCTATACTACAACAGGGATAAAACGAATGGCTGTTTTGTTATATCATTTATCAAAATCTTTAAGAAATAGACTACCCTTGAGTACAAAAGACGGTTGCTAGAATCACATGGAAATACATCGTCGACCAAAACTATTTTCCAGTAGCCATCTTTGCACAAACGTAAATGATATGCACCCTCCTGACAAAACGTTTTCGTGAGTATGATTTTCTCTAGTAACTCCTTTCGATCCGCAAGAACGGCTAGCGCACTGAGGTACCTGTTCAAATTGAAAGTATATCTTGATATTTCTTACACCAAATTTATCCAGGATATATATTTTATACACGCATATGTTTCAAAATTCTTTCACACTTAGCCAATACCCATTTTGTCAGTTATAATGTCGATATCTTCCCCTTTTCGATTTTGACAAATGACCAGGACGACTTTCGATTTATTTGGTTTGGCCGTCTATCATAAATTCTAGAAATTGTAGATAGATATTATACTGTATTGTTTGTGTATTACTGTATTGTTTGTGTATTACTGTATAGTTTGTGTATTACTGTATTGTTTGTGTATTACTGTATTGTTTGGGTATTACTGTATTGTTTGTATTGTTTGTGTATCACTGTATTGTTTGTGTATTACTGTATTGTTTGTGTATTACTGTATTGTTTGTATTGTTTGTGTATCACTGTATTGTTTGTGTATTACTGTATTGTTTGTGTATTACTGTATTGTTTGTGTATCACTGTATTGTTTGTGTATTACTGTATTGTTTGTGTATTACTGTATTGTTTGGGTATTACTGTATTGTTTGTATTGTTTGTGTATCACTGTATTGTTTGTGTATTACTGTATTGTTTGTGTATTACTGTATTGTTTGTATTGTTTGTGTATCACTGTATTGTTTGTGTATTACTGTATTGTTTGTGTATTACTGTATTGTTTGTGTATCACTGTATTGTTTGTGTATTACTGTATTGTTTGTGTATTACTGTATTGTTTGTATTGTTTGTGTATTACTGTATTGTTTGTGTATTACTGTATTGTTTGTGTATCACTGTATTGTTTGTGTATTACTGTATTGTTTGTGTATTACTGTATAGTTTGTGTATTACTGTATTGTTTGTGTATTACTGTATTGTTTGTGTATTACTGTATTGTTTGTGTATTACTGTATTGTTTGTATTGTTTGTGTATCACTGTATTGTTTGTGTATTACTGTATTGTTTGTGTATTACTGTATTGTTTGTATTGTTTGTGTATTACTGTATTGTTTGTGTATTACTGTATTGTTTGTGTATTACTGTATAGTTTGTGTATTACTGTATTGTTTGTGTATTACTGTATGGTTTTTGTATCACTATATAGTTTGTCTTGTTTGTGTATCACTGTATTGTTTGTGTATTACTGTATTGTTTGTGTATTACTGTATAGTTTGTGTATTACTGTATTGTTTGTGTATTACTGTATTGTTTGTATTGTTTGTGTATTGTATTGTTTGTGTATTGTTTGTGTATTACTGTATTGTATTGTTTGTGTATTGTACTGTATTGTTTGTGTATTACTGTATTTTGTGTATTACTGTATTGTTTGTGTATTACTGTATTGTTTGTATTGTTTGTGTATTACTGTATTGTTTGTATATTACTGTATAGTTTATGTATTACTGTATAGTTTGTGTATTACTGTATTATTTGTGTATCACTATATTGTTTGTGTATTACTGTATTGTTTGTATTGTTTGTGTATTACTGTATTGTTTGTGTATCACTGTATTGTTTGTATTGTTTGTGTATTACTGTATTGTTTGTGTATTACTGTATTGTTTGTGTATTACTGTATAGTTTGTGTATTACTGTATTGTTTGTGTATTACTGTATTGTTTGTGTATTACTGTATTGTTTGTGTATTACTGTATAGTTTGTGTATTACTGTATTGTTTGTGTATTACTATATTGTTTGTGTATTACTGTATTGTTTGTATAGTTTGTGTATCACTGTATTGTTTGTGTATCACTGTATTGTTTGTGTATCACTGTATTGTTTGTGTATTACTGTATTGTTTGTATTGTTTGTGTATTACTGTATTGTTTGTATATTACTGTATTGTTTGTGTATTACTGTATTGTTTGTGTATTACTGTATTGTTTGTGTATTACTGTATTGTTTGTATTGTTTGTGTATTACTGTATTGTTTGTGTATTACTGTATTGTTTGTGTATTACTGTATAGTTTGTGTATTACTGTATTGTTTGTGTATTACTGTATTGTTTGTATTGTTCGTGTATTACTGTATTGTGTTTGTGTACAACCACTGCGGTATGAAATAAATTGGAAACAACTCACTTACTTCGACGACCCTGGAATTTATCAGCATTTCAAAGTTTCGATATGTATCTGTTGCTGTTCTCACTAGGAAAGAACACTTGCTAATCTGTATCAGGTAATCACTTTTGACCTCTGTTTGGAATTAAACATATATTCATATTGTGCATCTTAGGTAGCTTTGAAAATATATAACTAGTTTCAAGACAGATAACTGCCTCATCCACGTGTATTACAGAAGGGAAAGTCATAGATAGATGATAAGTTTACCATATCATTGTAGATAGCTGGAATATGAGAGAACTTACCAACAGTTGCCAAGATAACCTTGCTGGATATCGTCAGGAATGGGATTTTCTCGATACACTACCCATTTCTCGACCGGGGTGTCGGTACTGATGTCATGGCAACGACGCCATTGTGGATTACTTCCATCTTGTTTTGGTTTTGAAAAGAGCGACGTCATATTATGAGGAAAATCGGCGTCGATGAATTTTATCTTTTTCTGAAAATTGCAATTAGTTTCAATGAATATATCACATAGACCAGAGCATGAAATGTTCTGCGACACTGTACGCATGGATATTTAATTATCAAGAAGTTTGCTAAGCGAGAAACAGTTTCCTAAAACGTAATAAGACATTGAACTGGGTAAAGGGCGTTACTGATTGAAATGTCAAATGATAAACGTTCCATTTGAATATGAAAAGTATTTTTTTACAGAAATCGTTCAGCTTCAATATATAGCATGTTGATATTTTGAATCTAGTTAAGTGTTACTACAATTAAAATATTGATTGAAAGCAAGAAGGATAAACATCTTCTTACTGTGTATATTAAATATCACCCAGACTGAATTTATCGCAGAGCTAACATGGATAGCTTTCCAACAAGCTGTATGATTTCAATTTCCATTTTGTGAATTTGCCATTTCTGGATAGCAAAATCCTGCATAACCAACCGTTGGTGTTTACATGGCGAAGTTGATTCGATATTCAAGGGACTGTCCCCCTTATCACAATTTCATGGCAGGAAGTCGTCAACAGGCGGTTGAACTTGTGACACAGGGTTTTAAACGATGTAGGTTAATGGAAAGTATTGGGAAGTGTATGGTCATCTATTTCTTCGTGCGATATGAAGTGTTTGATGCTCGTTAGTTTGTCTGTTGGTTTTGTTGTTGTTTCCATTGTTCTCATTTGAGAACGTGACATTATTTACTTGGATTGACAAAGACTTACATGGCGGGTGTCGTCGATGAAGCAGAAAGCGCTTACTCTTCCGGGACACCCGGCCTTATTCTCCTTGTAATTTTTTCATGAGTGTCTGTAAATTATTTACTTGGATTGACAAAGACTTACATGGCGGGTGTCGTCGATGAAGCAGAAAGCGCTTACTCTTCCGGGACACCCGGCCTTATTCTCCTTGTAATTTTTTCATGAGTGTCTGTAAATTTTTAGTTCATATTTTGCCTTTGTTTTATAAAATAAGAATTTGGATAATGATCATATTGATTTGTTGGTATTTATTTTTTTTTGATTGCTAACTAATCGTCATTTGCATATGTAAGGTATGAGAAGAACACTGCTATTGTCCAATTTAAATACACGGTGCTAATTACAACAACACATATAATTGTGACCTGACTCTGAATTCACTTCGTGTGATAAAACTACCCACCTCTCTACAATAGGTCGTGATGCTGATCCATCTTTTCATAGCCTCTCTTTCTTCTCTCTTTTCTAAGTCAACAACGCACATGCTCTTTTGTTGTTGAAGACGCTGCCTCTTTGCCGATCGAGAAAGAGACTGCGCTTGCGCAATCGAAGATGGTCGAACACTGTCACACATTTCACATTTTTCCGTCATTAATTGGGAATTTAAGAATGTACAAGTTTTACATCGCCACTTTTCTCCATGATCCAGAATTTCGATTCGTTTCCTGTCTTTTTTATGTGGATTTTGTCTTGGGCTGTCTTTGTCATTTTGTTTACTCGAAATATCATTACTTGGCCCTTTGCTTATTTTATCTTTCTCCTTCCCGATTGTGATTTTGTCATCCTTTCCCTTATCCTTCCCAATTTTCATTTTACCATCTTTCTCTTTGTCAAACAGCTTTTTATCGTTTCTGTCTTTTCTCTTTCCTTTATCGCTTGCAGTAATACCTTCAGCATTTCCGATATTTTCCGCCGTCCAGTCCCTTGGATTTTCACAGACCTCACACATGTGTAATATCTCTGGATTTAGGTATGTACAACTATTGCATTGCCACGATTCAACTTTAAATTCTTCCTCTTGATAAACAAGCCTTGCCCGTGGCGTGTTCTTTTTAGAACACATTATACATGATTGATCGTTTACAGTGTTGTCATGCTGACAATGCGTGCACGTCCATCCATTGACCGTTCTACCGTTCTCCGTTATAGAGACATCGGTATGAATTCGTTGTTGGTAACATGCAGCACATCGTTTCCGGAAGGTCTTGTTCTTGAGGGTGCAATGTTTACAAATCCATTCTACTTCCCTGCAATGAGCTGATCCACTCATGGTTTCTCTTATAATAGGAAAAATCATATACAAAATATTATCAACATCTGGGAGTTTGTAATATCGTATGTCATATGTAAGTGTTTAAATATTTATCTATTTGTATTTTACAATCCCACAGATTCGTATGTAGATGGGTACTATGCATGTCATCTAAACTTACTAGTGTTATCCCTATGGCATATTGATATTGGTGATTTAAAGGTCAAGTAGGTCAAAGGTCAATTAATAAGTTTTGCTGCATTATTTATTATTTATTAATGACTGACAAGGAGGAAGTACATGCTATTTATGTTATTCTGAATATTACAGCGATCGGTTGGGGATATATAGTTAACGTTCTTTAAGACAGATCCGACATAAACGCTATACTAAACGTTCTTGAATTATGAGGTCAATACGCCTCGCTTTCTTAAATATATATTATTCAATAGGATACTGTAAGCCAACAAATATTCGCGAAGGTCGCGATTAAGAACGATCGCGAAGTTTAATCGTCGCAAACAAGTTAATTTCATAATAACATGATAATCATCGATTCTCGAAAATACATCGTCGCGAAATATAATGGAAGTCATGAAAATTAATAGCACCAAATAAATATATTTATAGTATTGAATGAAATAAGTTCTACACATGAATATCTTCATAGTTATTTCACCAGAGTATTTTTACTTTCGTTCTTATTTCTTGATGCTTAAGTAATGATCGGGTATTTTAATTTTACTCATGATAAGTTTGCGATTTCTGTTAAACATCTATCCATGTATTTTGTCGATTGTTTTTAAGGCCAACGGAGCCATCTATAGCTAACTAACTAACTAAACTAATTAATTAATTTAACCAACTAACATAACTCACTAATTCACTTAACTAACTAACTTAACAACTAACTATTTTAACTACCTATCATAACTCACTAATTTACTTAACTAACTAACTAACTTACTAATTTCACTACCTATCATAACTCACTAACTTACTTAACTAACTAACTAACTTACTAATTTCACTACCTATCATAACTCACTAACTTACTTAACTAACTAACTAACTAACTTACTAATTTAACTACCTATCATAACTCACTTACTTACTTAACTAACTAACTAATTTAACTACCTATCATAACTCACTAACTTACTTAACTAACTAACTAACTAATTTAACTACCTATCATAACTCACTAACTTACTTAACTAACTAACAAACTAACTAATTTAACTACCTATCATAACTCACTAACTTACTTAACTAACTAACTAATTTAACTATCTATCATAACTCACTAACTTACTTAACTAACTAACTAACTATTTTAACTACCTATCATAACTCACTAACTTACTTACTAACTAACTAACTTACTAATTTAACTACCTATCATAACTAACTAACTTACTAACTAATTTAACTACCTATCATAACTCACTAACTTACTTAACTAACTAACTTAACTAACTAACTTACCAAACTAATTTAACTACCTATCATAACTCACTAACTTACTTAACTAACTAACTTAACTAACTAACTAACTAATTTAACTACCTATCATAACTCACTATCTTACTTAACTAACTACCTATATACGAATAGGCCATAGTATACATGCAAGTTGTTAATATTTTCAGTGGAAATAGATTTGTAAATAATCAATATTGTCGTAATAATTCTTATGTGTATGTGTTTGATACTTATAAGTATTTTTAAGGTGTAGAAACCTGGTTCTACATTAAGTATTACTTATATAAACCTGGTTCTACATTAAGTATTACTTATATAAACCTGGTTCTACATTAAGTGTTACTTATATAAACCTAGTTTTACATTAAATGTTACTTATATAAACCTGGTTCTACATTAAGTATTACTTATATAAACCTGGTTCTACATCAAGTATTACTTATATAAACCTGGTTCTACATTAAGTATTACTTATATAAACCTGGTTCCACATTAAGTGTTACTTATATAAACCTGGTTCCACATTAAGTATTACTTATATAAACCTGGTTCTACATTAAGTGTTACTTATATAAACCTGGTTCTACATTAATTATTACTTATATAAACCTGGTTCTACATTAAGTATTACTTATATAAACCTGGTTCTACATTAAGTGTTACTTATATAAACCTGGTTCTACATTAAATGTTACTTATATAATATAAACCTGGTTCTACATTAAGTGTTACCTTATATAAACCTTGTTCTACATTAAGTGTTACTTATATAAACCTGGTTCTACATTAAATGTTATAAACCTGGTTCTACATTAAATGTTATAAACCTGGTTCTACATTAAATGTTACTTATATAAACCTGGTTCTACATTAAATATTACTTATATAAACTAAACCTGGTTCTACATTAAGTGTTACTTATATAAACCTTGTTCTACATTAAGTGTTACTTATATAAACCTGGTTCGACATTAAGTATTACTTATATAAACCTGGTTCTACATTAAGTGTTACTTATATAAACCTGGTTCTACATTAAATGGTTACATTATATAAACCTGGTTCTACATTAAATGTTACTTATATAAACCTGGTTCCACATTAAGTATTACTTATATAAACCTGGTTCTACATTAAGTATTACTTATATAAACCTGGTTCTACATTAAGTGTTACTTATATAAACCTGGTTCTACATTAAGTATTACTTATATAAACCTGGTTCTACATGAAGTGTTACTTATACAAACCTGGTTCTACATTAAGTACTTATATAAACCTTATATAATATAAACCTGGTTCTACATTAAGTATTACTTATATAAACCTGGTTCTACATTAAATATTACCTTATATAAACCTTGTTCTACATTAAATATTACTTATATAAACCTGGTTCTACATTAAGTGTTACTTATATAAACCTGGTTCTACATTAAGTGTTACTTATATAAACCTGGTTCTACATTAAGTGTTACTTATATAAACCTGGTTCTACATTAAGTATTACTTATATAAACCTGGTTCTACATTAAGTATTACTTATATAAACCTGGTTCTACATTAAGTGTTACTTATATAAACCTTGTTCTACATTAAGTGTTACTTATATAAACCTTGTTCTACATTAAATATTACTTATATAAACCTGGTTCTACATTAAGTGTTACTTATATAAACCTGGTTCTACATTAAATGTTATAAACCTGGTTCTACATTAAGTGTTACTTATATAAACCTGGTTCTACATTAAGTATTATATATAAACCTGGTTCTACATTAAGTGTTACTTATATAAACCTGGTTCTACATTAAGTGTTACGTATATAAACCTTGTTCTACATTAAATGTTATAAACCTGGTTTTACATTAAGTATTACTTATATAAACCTGGTTCTACATTAAGTATTACTTATATAAACCTGGTTCTACATTAAATATTACTTATATAAACCTTGTTCTACATTAAATATTACTTATATAAACCTGGTTCCACATTAAGTATTACCTATATAAACCTGGTTCTACATTAAGTATTACTTATATAAACCTGGTTCTACATTAAGTGTTACTTATATAAACCTGGTTCTACATTAAGTATTACTTATATAAACCTGGTTCTACATCAAATATTACGTATATAAACCTTGTTCTACATTAAATATTACTTATATAAACCTGGTTCCACATTAAGTATTACTTATATAAAACTGGTTCTACATTAAGTGTTACTTATACAAACCTGGTTCTACATTAAGTGTTATTACTTATATAAACCTGGTTCTACATTAAGTATTACTTATATAAACCTGGTTCTACATTAAGTATTACTTATATAAACCTTGTTCTACATTAAGTATTACTTATATAAACCTGGTTCTACATGAAGTGTTACTTATACAAACCTGGTTCTACATTAAGTATTACTTATATAAACCTGGTTCTACATTAAATATTACTTATATAAACCTGGTTCTACATTAAATGTTATAAACCTGGTTCTACATTAAGTGTTACTTATATAAACCTGGTTCTACATTAATGTTATAAACCTGGTTCTACATTAAGTGTTACTTATATAAACCTGGTTCTACATTAAGTATTATAATAAACCTGGTTCTACATTAAGTGTTACTTATATAAACCTGGTTCTACATTAAGTGTTACTTATATAAACCTGGTTCTACATTAAATATTACTTATATAAACCTGGTTCTACATTAAGTATTATAAACTTATATAAATATAAACCTGGTTCTACATTAAGTGTTACTTATATAAACCTGGTTCTACATTAAGTGTTACGTATATAAACCTTGTTCTACATTAAGTATTACTTATATAAACCTGGTTCTACATTAAGTATTACTTATATAAACCTGGTTCTACATTAAATGTTACTTATATAAACCTGGTTCTACATTAAATGTTATAAACCTGGTTCTACATTAAATATTACTTATATAAACCTGGTTCTACATTAAATGTTACTTATATAAACTTAGATTTACATCATGGTGCTATTGCTGAGGCAGGAGACTTTTACTCTTCCAAAGAATTTGGTCTCATTCACGTAACAGTTTTTCAGGTGGATTAATGTTAACAATTTCCTATCTTCATATTTCAGTTTTGTTTCTTGACTTGCATTCTCTTGATTCTTTTTCACAAAAGATAAAAATACCATTCAACACAATGTTATACTCCGGGTGATTTCCAAGAAGAAATGACCAGGGTAATAGGAAGACGAACAAAAAAGAAAAGGATTAATTTAAACAGGATTGTCAGTCATTTGAATTGAATTAATTGAATTAAACATATTTATTGCAAAAATGATTACAAAAGGATTATGTACAAGTTATTACAACTTATGAAACACCCTTTCCCCAATATATAACAAAATATAGTTAGACAACGCAATAGCCATATGGCAACAAATACACTAACTACATATTTTAGGAGAGAGAGAGAGAGGAGGAGGAGGATTAAGGGGGTAGTTTAGGCGGATGACGTCAAGTGAACCTATTACTAGATTT